AAATAGTTGATGACAATTGACACAACTCCACAAAGTGAATGATGACGAGTGGGAGAAGCTAAGTCACCGACTAATACAAATTTAGTTGAAACAAAACAACACAACGACAGAGGTGAAGGAGTGAAGGAGGTACGTATGAGTAGCACTGATATACAAACTCCCAACAAAGAAAGGAGGAGTCTTGCGTAACACTTTGTAAATGGTGTATGCACAATATGACTACGCATGAAGCCTACTTATCTGCCACTGTTGCTTAACGACTAGACCTCAACTGTGTACTGAGATAAATTGCACGAGCGAAAAGGTTACTTCCACAAAACTTGCTAAGAATACTTTCTGAATGGATTTTTTATCGTGACCGTCACACGACGAGAGAATGATGATGCAGACGTTGTGCATTCCAAGGAAAGTAAACAAAAAAGGAACTAATCGATATGTGTCATCGTTGCACAGAACGGAGATTTACCATGGGCGAAGATAGTTTCGTACCGATAAAGGCGGTAATGGAGAGAAAACCAAGTTCGTCATAGCTATCGCTAACCTTCTCTGAATCATTTAGGCCTATAAAAACACCCAAGGAGTAAAACTAGCTTTGCCTTTTGTAATATCGGACATTCGTGCGAGGACGTTTTCGAATAATTTAGTGCTTTTTTCTAACCGCTCAGGGCTCCAAAGTTTAAAGGAATGAAACATGGCTACTGAACATGACACTGCGTCAAACCATGAATGATGTCAGAAGCAAAATAATCAAGTAGAGTCGTTGCTACAGCTTTCTACGCGCGCAGCCCCGTTATTGGAAGCTTCATCACAAAGGCTAAAAGGGATGAAAGCTGGTCTATTGGGCGAATGGTCTTTATACCGTTTCTTGCACCCTTTGTTCTCGTAAAAAGGGCTCTACTGTCACACCATGCGGTATGATTATCAAAAAGGTCGTGTGTTGCAGAAAACAAACCAAAACTTAAGCCTCTGGGGGTTCTTTACTCAATATATATATAGCCAAAACAAAAAGAAGCTCACGAACTGCCTGATATAGCTTGCCTCCAGTGGTCCAATGGTAATGTTGTTTGCGTCAATTACAAGGGTGTCGCGAAAAGTCAATGGCGTTTTGGCCGTTGACGTAACATTTTTGTCTGTCTTCAACCTTATCAGTGGGCCTTTGATGCTTAAATAAGCTCTTCTTCGCGTAGCAAGGTCCTGATCTTCATTTAAAAAAAATATTAGGATTGGAAAGTTTTGAATGATCATTCTTTAGTTTTTATACTTGCTGTCACAGCAATCATGCATTGTTTTTCACGCTAAAATGAACGTTAAAGCTGGCGTCAGGCTTTCCTTTCATTACTTTTACATTGAACTATTGCTAGGAAGCGGCATGTACAAATATTCAGTAGGCAGTTTCAATACTAGAAGTCAGCAGCAAAGCAAAAGAAGATTATGTGCTGTTTCAAGATAAATTATTCTGTATAAAAATTGCTGCGCAGAAGTTTGTACAGAAAATATTACTTTTATGGCACACTAAAAGAAGTATACAAGTTTTATTTTCTTCAGACCTTTGTTGTATTCTTTCGCCATTCCCAGTGCCAGTGCTTTTTATACGAGATATAACAAAAATATTGCACCAGCCGTAATGCTGACAAATGTCATTGCCGATTCAGACAGGAAGGAAGCAGAATACTCAAAACAAGTGGCTCAAGTTTACAATTCCTCTCCCCCCTCTCTCTTCACTGGACAGACCAATCCGAAAAGCAGCTGTAGGCAGAAACATACGGTAGTGCCGGATACAAGTGCGAAAGGTTAAAGGGAGGAAGCACCACCGTGCCAGTCGTTTGTTTGCCGGCTTCTCCCTTGGTGGCCCCAGACGAGATCGGGACGGGAGCAGTACCATCCCAGGCCCCGATGCCTTCGAGCCCATTCTTCGTCGCTTCCCTCCACAGACAGCGTCGTCGCGTTCAATGCGAGCGTCGATATGTTTGTGACAGTAAGTTCTGCTCAGGCATACAAGCGAGTCGGAAGCGACAAAATCCCTGTAGCAGTGCGTGTGTCAGGGTGACACAAAAGCACACTCACAGAAAAAGAGGGAAGTAGGCTTCACAACACGGTGACTGTTACAGCGGGAAAGCAGCCGTAGCGGGAAGGCTCTTCCTCTTCCTAAACGGTGTGTGAATGCTTACGCTGAACGCATCCCATGGGCTGACTAAATCTTTCGAAGAGAACAGGGGGCAGAGCAACAGTGGGCTCTCCGTTTGCTCTCAGCTACCGCGCACGACCTTTTATATGTGTTTATATGTGCGGTTTTTTTGTATTCTTGAGTTCAATTCAGAACACTGAAACACTCTTCAGAGTGTCGTATCCTTTATCGCTTCCAATATAATGTGCATGTTTTTATTTGCAATTCTTGTGTGGTGCTGCAAAGAGTCCAACCCACGTAGCTATTTATTAGAGTCAGTGACCACATTCAGAACCAGTTCAGGGGACAGTGCCATACCTACGGGTCACTAGTAAGCAACATCCGTCACTGACGCTCGAGTAAGCCTGTTTGCAAGTGTACATTACTCGAATGACAGAAGTTCCGTGCGCAAAATGATTGATATTGTCGAATGACAAGCTACTTGGCTCATGTTGGAGATCTAGATTTTTCATTACTGTCAATACATCTTAGCTTTGCGTTTTTTCAGGTACAAAGCTAACAAAACAGTATGCCTAACCAATGAACCTCAGAATCAACGTAGCTGAATATGATATATCACACTTGTTTACATTTATAGGTTAGGACGGAGGTTTGTATGGTCTGACAATCACTGCTGATCGTCAATTCGAAATTATAGAAACCATTTTGCAGTGACCTAAGATGCATAGAGAGTGAGCATAGCACGATAAATGACTTTTTCCTTTGCATACTCCACATCGTTCACATAATACTGTGGAGTAACTTCATTGGTAGATTGATTGGTTGGTTGGTTGATTCTATTCGAAGCTTTCATGCCGTATAAATGTTTAACGCTCCATAACAAACAGTTGACTTCGAAATCATAATGATACGAACCAAGTCATCACATCTGCGCAACTTATTATTGTGGTGCTTCTTTGCAATTTTCTTTTTGCAACACCAACACATGTGAAGAACACCGTCCTGCCGTTTTCGCAGAGTGTTTTCTAGAGCAGGAGCACTCAGAAAATTAAATGATTTTCCCCGATAGCGTGGTCTGTACACATCTCGCGCCAACTGCACTTCATTTTTGCGTACTTTCAGTCAGCCGTCCATACGTCACTCTTTGGGCAAGTGACGTCTCTTGGGATGGTCCGAGCCTTTATTACTGCACCAGCACTCGGACTACGAAAGCTCAGCTTTCCAGCTCTCCGTCCTCCTCATGCTAAGAGTTGGGCGCTGCAGTGGTCCCAATTGCGCCATGGTCGCGGCCCTTATTTCGGGATTATGCCCCGTGTGCACCCCTGGCACACTGAGGGCAGGGATTGAAGAAACGATATACGTCGGTATAAAACATATCTTTAGGCTGTGTGCTGTACAGACGGACAACAGCACATACAATCCTCGATCGACAGTCACTGCTGTTTCATGATTGACATTTACGATGACGCTGAGGGCTTTGTGCCTATAGCCTTTCACGGACAAGAGCACGCGGGGAAATATATTTTGCTTTGATAACGGGCACGATGGGCACGTCGCGTGTCACTCATTTTCTACGTAAGCTGGTGGGAGCGGGAATCCTATGTTCGGCTCTAGTAAGCAAACTATTCTCGACAGCATTGTCTAATTTGGACAGTGATGAACACGTGCCAGTCAGTTAAGCGGGACTGGCATATCGTAGTCACAGCGCTATGAATGGGTGCGCAATTATTGGAGCATGACATGGTGCGTCCTTGTTCAGGAATGATTCCAATACTCGGTAATCTGCTAAAGCGCACGTGTGTGGATAGAAGAAACGCTGAACGGCCAGTGTAAACGTTGCCTTGCGGTAAAATACGCAGAGTTTTCGAAATTTTTTTTTAGAATGAAGTGATGAACACTGAGAACATGCATTCATTGTACCTGATTTTTCAGTGCTGCAATTATCTTCTTTCGAGTTGGGTGTGAAACGAGAGAGAGAAGAATACTTTAAGGAAGAGATGGAGATGCTTGTCTGGCTTTTCGCCTGACATGCTACTTCGGGTGTTGGGTGATGACTATGATATATGCAGTGATAAACACATCACGCATACAGCTCCACACGTAGACTGTACTATTTACGAAGTTTCAATCAGGCTTGTAGCCTGCAAGAAAGTCAGCAGTGCTTTTGTGGCGTGTAACGCACTTGGAACTGCTTTGCCATGGGCCCAGAATATGTGTCAACTCTCTCTATCAATTTTTACTATGACAAATGAGAAGCTTCGGCTTTTTTTTTCAGGTGTCTTTCACTGAAGTGTCCATTCAAGACTTCCATAGATTCCGAGTGCACTACTCGTTGTTTTGTTTAATGCTCCAGCATTGCGAAATTGAACAATTGTTCTTCTGAGATCTGGACATGCTGTAACTTTAGGTCAGTAAAAGCACTGCCGCAAGTACCACGTATTACCGCTCGCATACATTTGTAGAAAAACAGAAAGACAAACGAGGCAAGCTTTGATGTCAAGTAGCTGAAGAAAAAAAAGCGTTTGCTTGTCGTGATGCTATGCCCGCCTTGCCTGTATGTCTAGTTTACTACCCGAGCCCGTGTGAAGAAGTTCAGTTGGTTTTACGAGATAGACAGATGAAGTAAAGAGAACACTGTAGATGCGTGAGCACTTGAACGCTCAACGTATTGAATAATTGTCGAGACCCATTGTCCTCAGGTACTTTTACAATTACCTCCGTTTTACGCGCGAAGGAATATTTTGTTGGTTTAATGTGTCTACAGAGCTGGTACACGTAACAGTGGTTATCGCTGTTTTAAGCCACCATCTCCTGCATCCACCGCAGACTTCTCACGTAAGTGGAAAAATGATGTGAGACAGGAGTTGTCACTTACCGGGGGTGTACACGAGCCTCTGGAAGCGGTGGTACTTGATCTCCTTGAAGGTGTAACTGCACAGGAACACGGTATCTTCATCCTGCGGCAGGCTAGCATCCAGCACCTCGCTGGTCATGGCCGCACGGTACAGGCCGTCCTTACGCTCTGTGGTCAGCTGCACGTTGACCAACTCCGCCTTGTCGTCGTCCGTGTCCGGCAGGAGTCGGTACATCTTCAGGTGCGGCATCGGGAAGGCACCGTCCACCTCGCACAAAAGCGTGGCGCGCTCCGAGCTAGACTTGGTGTAGTTGAAGTGGAACGTCGATGGCGGCGCTGCGGATGGTATAACACACCAAATAAGCGTAAGAGACGAGTAACGGAGATAGTATCGCTGAAAACACTGTAGCAAAAAGACAGAGAGGGCAAGGCGTTAAAGTCCCATGGGATAACGCTGCTTATATTTGACATAACATAATCAAAACCTTTACGCACATATACTTCTGTGCTTCGCCCTCAAATGTAAGCAATTCGTAGTGTCGTCAACGCCACATGAACATAATACCTGAAATATACAGTTATACCTTTGTACAGCAGATGGTTGCGTTAAAACGCATAAGTGAGACAGGTTTCAACAGGGTTTGTTGCTGAAGTAGTTGGTTCAGTACTCGAGGAAAGTAGGCATGGCGCTAACAGAGTGGTTTACTCGTGTGATACAAGTCATTGTTTAGAAGCCATCTTTGACGACCGCAATTTAACAGAATATCTAACCATGTACGTTCACTAATATTGGGGCCAGCTACTCTAACTACGGAAGATTGCTCATGCAGTCATTAGACAGCTATAGCACCGAGCAATAGCGTCAGCAGGACTTCGTCTAGGGGGCTGGAAACTTGTGTAGCATCTTAGATGCGGGAAAGTACGGGGAGAAGGGGTGCTGGTGTAGTTTCAGTGGGAGTTAATAAGGGCTAGTGTGTCTTAAGGGGGGCAACTGACTCTTTTGCACCCACCTGCCGACACCCATGGTAGCATTGAGTATAACTATTCACTTACGCTCTATATTTCTGCTTATACAGAGTACTAGGTTTAATAAAGACATGCTTGTCGGTGAAATGTTTGCGAAGTTCGACGAATGAATGTTTGCATAGTTACAGTAAATGGCCAATTACTATACCGTCTACTAATAAAACACTAGAATATTCAGTGATCAGCTAGCATGAAATTTTTACTGTTTTTATATCCTTCACTTGCTGAACTTTTGAAGAGCCCATTCTTGAAACCCATTTTATTTGCAATAAGTGATTGGGGAACGGAAAATGGAAGGTAATGTACACATTTTAATTCAGCCCTTAAAACACATTTTTTTTCAATAACCAAAACCGTCTTTCAGCTTTCCCAAACATGACCGTCTGGGAAACCTCTTGTTTCACGAACAAATTTTCGACAACAGCGACTGTGGAGTGTCGTATCTATTTTTTCACAATTACAAAAAATATTGTTTGGTAGTTTTCTCTAGAAAGTTGACGTAAAAAATTATTGCGACGTTGCAATTTACTTGAGGTATACAGAAGTAGGTAGCGGAGAGGCTACAATGTTCGAGCTTCGATACAAGACGTCTGGGAGAACCTATGGCAGCGTCAAAACGTTATCAGGCGTTTAAGCCTGTTCCCTTTTTTGTTTGTTTTGGCGAGGAAGTTTCGTCACAACGAAACAGAAACAAGTTACACAAAGAAATATGTAGAATTCCAAATGTTTTTCACAAAATATTTTTTGTGCGAAGGCGGGTACCATTGGCTGTGGAAGAAGCGCTTCCCGCGAGTACAGTCTTTTTGATTGCTCGACGTTTGCGTTCCTCGGCAAGCTGACGCGCGATATCTAGAAACAGTTTGACACTTGTACCTGTCACGTTCCATATCTTCCCCCTCCCCCTCTTTTTTGTTAGTGAACTTTTTAAGCCAGCAAGATACGGCCTAGTAACGTGTTTTATCGCTGTCCTGCCTCTGCAAGTTTCGCTGCTTCCGTCAGCAAATAAAGCACTAATAACCAAACAGGCTGTCTATTATGGATGTAAGGGAAAAAATAAAGATATAGAGAAGCTTTCCCAAGTCTGATTAGGGCTTCTCGCCGTGCTTGGAAAGACAGGTGAAGCAACGTTACAATTTTTTCTTGCTCGAGAAAAAGAGCGGATAAAAAGAGTGTTGTGAAACTGTACAAATTCAACGGTAAACGTGGCTAAGATAGGCGATACTTCAAGGAACATTGCCTCGACAGAAGAGCCCCGCGGGTGCCGCGACTTTGCCGGAAGGCGCAGTGCGAAAGAAAATGGAAAGATTTTTTTTTTCTGTATATACACGTTCGCCTTTCGTCGTGAGGCGGAAACACCGGCAGAACCAGAAAATAACCTCGGAAGGCAGGCATGTCGGGTGCGGAGCCGCCTCCGCCAGACACGCGTTATCAATAACGCGGTCTCATCGCTGCGCTAAGGAAGGCAGCGCGGCGCGACACACAAAGGACGTGGCCCTGTCGTTGCCGTCGGGAACAGGTAAGGCGGGCTACTTGTAGTAGGCACAGCCGAGCATAAAACACCACCACCCCAACATCAGCAGTCGCCACCAGCACCACAGGCACTTCGGCTTCCGAGAGGATGAAATAACGGGAAGAGTAAGAGATAAAAGAGAAAAGAGAGGGTGAAGTCTCAGCGAAGAACTCCATGCAGAGATGATGTCATTTTTCTGTGTTTTTTTTTCGTCTTTCGTAGACACGAAAATAAAGATTGCAGAGCTGGGGTGGTAGAGAAGCCGAGAAAAACGGGCCTGCGTGTCCCAGGAGTGGCTAGCGCGAAGACTCCGCGGAGGCTGCAGTTGCAAGGTGCATAAGGGAGGAATGAGAAGAAGAAGGGTGTGGTAAGGATGGGGATATAGAGGGGAAGTAGGGGGGATGTAGTCGGAGGTAGGTGTGACTGTGAGCAGCGAGGAAACCACGCTCAGGAAACCAAGAAGTGACGTGTAGCAGACGCTGTGCGCGGGTCGGTCGATAACCTGTTTGCTCAGATAGCTCCCGGCTGAGGCTGTCACAAGGAGCCACCAGGTCTTTTTGCCGGGCTGCGATATTCACACCTGTGATACACTGGGCACCGGTTGCTCTCGCTGTCTTGCGGTTCTCTGAATATCGTTAACAGCACACCGGAAATGCGCTTACACTTTTTGACGTAGTATTGAGCATCGTTGGCATTTGGACGAGTTCGCGTGTAGTTCTATAGCTTACTGTGTTTCGTCGTAGTTACATAGATGAGTTTACATTTTGTATGTGGCATCAGGAGGTCTCGAAGTAACAGACTCTAATGGTGACCCTCTGTTATTAGCGCAAGGATTGGACTATCAGGCAGTGACAATAATCAATGTGAACAACGCTGGAAAACAAATAATCAAATACATTCTGTATAGAACAACTTGAAATTGTTTCATTGTTCTAGTCGAGCTAGTTCTTTATTGCATAATACGTCATATATGAAGCTGTGTTCTGCTGCATTTAAACGTGTTCTACCCATTACAAACTAAGGCTGTTAACTCTTATCAAATGTGTGGGTTAGAGAATGATAAACAGTACGATGAAATAATGGGCTTGTCAATGACTGAGTAACAATTCACAAGTGGCAAAGTGGAAAAAAAAAGATATAAACACATTATTGACTACCAAAAGACACCCAAACAATACAGTGCACCACAATGTGTTCGTCACCTTTTTTGCCTAATCACCTTTAAAATGCACTTAAACATAATCACAAGGACGGGTGCTTGCCCGAGTCACGAAAGAACAACTACGCTGCAAATCGATACATGATATTCCTTTCGAACATCGTTGTTGGAAGTCAGCAACGCATCTATATTTCCTTGCGTGTTTTTTCCAAGCTGGGCTTCCTTTGTTATAACTTGTTAATGTATGGACGTATGAGTAAAGAGCTATCAATAAATATATACTTTAGTGACTGGATCTGAAGATGCCAATAAACCGGTCAGCTTGATGGAACGCTGTGATATGCCGTTCTTCTTGAGCTTCATCCAAACGACGTCTCGCGAGACAGACAGACAGACAGACAGACAGACAGACAGACAGACAGACAGACAGACAGACAGACAGACAGACAGACAGACAGACAGACAGACAGACAGACAGACAGACAGACAGACTGACAGACAGACAGACAGACAGACAGACAGACGGACGGACGGACGGATGGACGGACGGACGGACGAACGGACGGAGGATTCACGCTTCAACGACAGACAGGCAGACAGACAGACAGACAGACCTTTCGCAGAAATTTTCGTGTCGGCGTCGTTGGTTGTGAGCGAAAAATCATAATTTATGCGTGACCAAAAAATATAGAATGATCCAAACAAACTAAAGGATAAAAAAATCACAGCATATCTGCAGAGTGAATGATGATGAGTGGGGCGAAACGTCCGTCTGCCAGTCTGTGCTTCCGTCCATCCGTTTGTTCTTGCTTCCGTCCATCCCCGCGACCATCCGTGCGTCCATCCATAAGTCCATCTGTCTGTCTGTCCGTCGGTAAGTGCATGCGTCCGTCCATCTATCTGTCCATCCGTCTTCTAGTCTGTCTGTCCGTCCGTCTGTGCGTCCATCTAGTGAACACTTCAAGTACCAGCCATCTCGCATCTCGCATCCACTGTGGCCCATACCCGCTCCGCGCGTCCATACATTTGTTCGTCCGTCCATGCATCCCATGCCCCATGCATCCATCTAGTGAACACTCCAAGTACCGCCATCTCCCATCTCGCATCCAGTGGCTACGTACGACCACGACGGAGGATGGACAGATGCACGCATTAAGTAGCTTCGCCCCTAAAAATCCCTGGAGCAGAGTGGGAACCAAACCATGGTTCTTGGCTTCCAAGTGAGGATGAAACCCAGGGTCGTTTGTGTAGCAAGCGGATGTTCTACCATACGGCCACGCCTCTGCATATGAAAACTGTGAAAAGAACCTTTCTGCTTGAAAATGCAGTGCAAGTAGCTTTCATGGTTCACAAAAACACACGTCCTGTATACATGCTTCACAATGAAACATGAAACATTGCAGTAGTAATGCGTGGTCAAGCGTCCATTGCCAACGGGCGTCAGAAATATTGATTATCATAATGGCTCCGTGGCTGAAAGCCGGTACCCCACTACAAAAGGCACACACGCTACTGCACCTATTCCCTTAAAGCCACGTAGTGGGTGCATAGCAAACTCCAACTGGTTTCGTGCACTAAGTGTATGAAGTACGCTCTATGAAGAGGATGTCTCTATCTCGTTCAACTCCTAAAGGCGAAGCT